ATTCAACAAAATGCACTCTGTTTAATGTTTGCAAAGCATAGTTTATTCACCGATATCTTTTCCTTTTGCTGCAGGCACCACCAATACCTTAAATCTGTAGATTTCCAAGTATGATCTTTGCACAAAGAAAAAGCAGAGAAAAACATTTCTAAACAATCAGATGAAAACCAAAAAACTTTCATCACCAAGTGACATTTTCCGGATCTTTGAGGAATATGTTTGCATTAGTATATCTCAGTTCCCCACTATAAGCCTCAAATGATGTACATCAATGAACATATCATTCATCAGGACCACAGAACTGTTATATTTAAGTACACAATTTTCTGCAGAACATCAAAGCTTAGGTGTTTATAGACTAAGAGAATCAATTATTCGTATATTAATCAATTTTGAGGGGGTAGTGAAGTAGTTGAATAATGAAATATGTGCTTTAGCACCTTTGAAGCCCTGGGTTTACTGTTAAACACCCAAAAAGAGAAAAAGGGAAAAAAATCCATTCAACCTGTTAAAAATTTTGTTGACTCCTTTGAGGATTTTCTTCACTAAGTTAAGCACTTTCATAAAGGAAGATAACTGGAGTTTTCTCTTTTTTTAGTTTTCATCTAAGATGACAAAATTTGTACTTCCAAACCTCTTTCCAAATAGAGAACCGATTCCTCCCATCAGGAGAGTATAAAAAGGAGTGTTGTTATTTTAATAGGCAGATGTTAAAAAGAAATTGTTTTAAGAGCTATTGGAGGACTTAAAAGACAAAAACAAAACAAAGTGGAAAATAAAATAAAACCAAAGAAGACCACTGAGGTCACCTTGGTAGTAGTAACTGTGGGAAGCACCTATGTCCAAGGTTGGGTACCAGGGTTGTATTGGGTGCTCAGAATACAGGCATGAAAAGCAATGGGCCTGCACAATGGGTCTTGGTCTTTTGTGGAGAGCAGACTACCTGATACTGCTGGTTCCTCAGTGTCCTCCTGGAAAGCAAATTATTATTCTTGTCGTTGTTATTATTTGGGCAATAATTCTCTTATGAAAGCAGCTGTTTCATTGTCATTTACAATTTAACAGTCATTTAAACATTCATTCACCTCCCTAACAAATCCCTTCCTAGCTTCAGTTGCTTGGCCTAGGAAGAAGTGAAATTATTTAACAGTCACCACTGTGAGCAGCTTTGCCAGCAATCCTAGGGCTCTGGAGAGGAAGAAATGATTCTTAGAGTCCCAGTAGGAACAAAAAGAGGTTCGTTTGTACAAAGAAAAACAATTACAGGTTAGCACACCTCATCCAAAAATCTGAAATACCAAATGCTCCAAAACACAAACCTTTTGAGCACTGACACACACAAGAGGAAAATCCTGCAACTGGCCTCATATGATGAGTCACAGTCAAAATGCAGGTGCACTGAAAACATTGTACTGTATAACATCTCCTCTGGCTGCATGGACAGGGTACGTGTGACACAAGAGTGAATGTCATGCTTAGATTTGAGCCTTATTCCCAAGATACCCCAGTAAGTTTATGCAAATATTACAAAATCAAAAAAAAAAAAAATCTGAAAACCAAGGTAGTTCTTGCTCCAAACATTTTGTCTAAGTGATATTCAACATGTGCATACTTTTGATATTAAAAAGATGATGCACCACCATACCAGTAACCAGTCTCAACTACTCACCCCTCTCCTCAAAAAATAAAGGCATATACAATAAAAAGCAAAGCATAAATAATAAAAAAGTAAAATAAAAAGGAATAAGGTAATATGGGATAAAAGTAAAACAAATTAAATGCAAGTATAAAATAAAAATAAAACTCACATAGCACATCAATAAGTACTCAAAAACCAGACACTTAAATTTTTATTAACATTTTTTTCAAACTTGCAATAAGAAATAGATCTTAATTAAATACAAAATTCAATTAGACATCACTCAAGATTTGGAAGCACATTTATTAACATCGACAGACCTGACCGGAAATCATTTCCAAAGTGTCAGGCCCAGATCCCTGGTAGTCTAGGGCTTATAAGGAGTTTGCAAGCAGGAAGTACAGAAGCAGAGTATTTGGTGGTTATCGACTGGTTACATCTTATCTCATTATTATTGATTGGCCTAAGGGAAAACTACACCGTATATGTTGCATGCTAAGGCAAGTTCAAACTCTGGGTAAGCTCAGAGTTACTGGTATGGGAAGAGGGGCTCAGAGTTAAAGGAAATACTTGGCTGAGGCATCACATGGGTTCAGGATGAGGTCAGTTAGAAAAGTAAAACATCCACTTGGCTTTGGAAAACAAACCTGCTCAGGGGAGTAGCTACTTGCAGGGTGACATAGGACCTCAGAAATACAATTTAACTCTATTTTCCTCTTTACCAGCACTGTGGGAGTCTGAGGCAGGAGGATTACAAGTTCGAGCCCAGCCTGGGCAATTTAGTAACTTAGTGAGACCCTATCTAAAAAATAAAATATTACAAAGGGCTAAGGTGTCTCCCCATGTGATGGTCCTGGGTTCAATTTGGAATACCTCTTATGCCTGGCACCAACAGGTCTGTCATATAGAAAAGATGAAGGATATAGCGGATGAAGAGATGCAGACAAATGACTTGAGAGAATCGGTCAATAAGCTGAATCCAGACAGCACTGGAAAAGATGCAGAAAAGCCTCTCCAGTCTCATTCTCCCTCCCATGCTGTCTTCATTAGAAAAGTGCAATGCTGCAAAAGCACGCATGTGAACCGGGAAAACTCACGGAGCTTGTGGGTGAAGGTAGCATTCTGAAAAGGCTATGAGGCTGTGACCCAGGCTAAAGGTGAACAAACGGATGGATGTATGCCACCAGTCAATGGCTCTAAAATTCAGACACACAAATAATGACAAACAAAGAGTACTTCGTTCTGTCTTCCTAAGTTTAAGGTGTGGAGCAGCGTGTATGCAGATGAGAAAGCCCAGAGAGCTGAGAGCAGGGAAAATCACTTGGCTATTTCAGGTAACATTTCAACAAGAATCTTGCATTCTCTAGCTCAGCTACAAAGGGGGTCAGGAAAACTGTCAGCTGATCACAGAAAAACTAAAATAAGGGCCAAACCTAATGAGAAAGAACTAGTACAGTATTTTACTTTAAAAGAATGTGCAATCGGCCAAGATCAGTTATCTTCTAGTTTAAATCTAAAGATATCTGCAAATGTATGAATGCATAGTGTATATATGCTCAATAAAATTTCTCATATTGGGGGCTGGGGATTTAGCTCAGTGGCAAAGCGCCTGCCTGGTTCCCGGTACCGAAAAAAAAAAAAAAAAAAAAATTTCTCATATTGATTTTTTTAAAGGAAATGACAAAATAAATCAGACTAATTATATTAATATCATTTATGTTCAGTTTAGAAATTGTGTTTTTTATTTGCTTTTATTACTTGCAGTGTTGAAGAGAATTTTACAGCAGAATATTTACCACAATAGCTTTGTGATTCCTACTTAAAATGTGTGGTTAAATCATCAATTTAGGTGCAAATTTTTAAAGTTGAAAGTCATCAGAGAAGTTTGCTAAGTTTACAAAAGGGGGTATATTTAAGAATCTTAAAATTTATCACATTTGTAAGTCATGAAGCTTATGAGTTATTTAAGTTTTGGGTAAAGTTTTATATAATAATATGGCAATTAAATATCAAAAAGAGAATTTCAACATTTCATTCAATGAGTACAAATGAAATATTAAGGAAACTAATTAATTAGGCCATAACTGCTATTTAAAAGTTGTAAGAGTTGTTAAATGTGTAGATTAAGCTTTATTTAGGTTAAAGTTTATAAAGTATAAGTTAAATAAATTGAAGTTAAATAAAATTTTAAGGAACAGCTAGGTTTTCCAACACTATTTTATGAATGAAATACTAATTTTAAAAGCCAAAATTACTTCAAAGAATCTTTTCTGTACCCGAGAGCCCCAGAAATCTCAAATTGACAGGATGCTCTTAAAAATCAAAAACAAAACTTGCTAAAGGGGAGGAGGAAGGTGAGTAGCCCCAAAATGAACCAAAAGACCAAAGCAGCTCTGGACAGAACTCGAGGGCTTTGGGAGGCATTTAAAATTTCATCTTGGACCAGGGAAAACTACATGGGTCAGATATGAAACGGGAAACAGATGGTGCAGTCAGCCTGGGTGATTGCAGAGAGTTTAATAGAAGACTATTTACCAAGGTGATTGCGGGAGGCTGCTATTAGGAAACCAGCAAAAAGCAGTCTAGAAGCAGGGGCAGCAAGGGCAGGGAGCCCCCACGCAGCTTGGCAGAAGCAGCGAGGAAAGGGAGCCACGACCAGAACTTCTAGGCACGGCTGTCTGGAGGGGGACCCTGGGTGGCCTTTCCTGGAGCAGTGCAGCCACCCTGGGGCGTTTTGGCAGAGAGTTTGCCCGGCAGAAGCATCCAGATCTCACCTTGCTACCACCTGCTGATTTCTTGCAGCTGCTTCCAACTGGTAAAACGCCACTGGGATCCTGCACAGAAGGGGCTTTGTAATGCAGAACACAGAGCAAGTGGAGAGGCTGGGGGATGGAGAGGGACCTCACCCTGAAAGTACTTCAGAAATTTAAGAGAAATGTGTTAACATTAGAGAAAGCTTCATTAAGTAAAAGTTCACACTGACCGAAAGATATTTCTAAATTCCTAGAGTGGAAGCAGACAGGAATCAAAACCATTAGCATTTTATTTTCCTGATTCTTATATCAGCTTTTCATTGTTTCATGGGTCAAAATCTAGGCCAGCCTGGCCCACACTATACTTTATATTTCTTCTGTACACTTTCCACCAGTATCAGATCAAGTGTACACTGGACACAGAGTTAACAATGAACAAATGATAGAAGTATTGATTGGCCAAATGTGTAGCTCTTGAGCAGGCCACCGAATGGAGATTATCAGTACTGCGTAGAGCAAACATTTGAGAGATCTAGGATGGATAGCGTACACTGCAGGTAAAAGTACCCACATCACATTTTCAACATTTACTTTTAAATGGTTTTTCATTAACGTCCTTCAGGAAACAAATTTGCGCTTTTTGAATGAGAGCGAAGTATTTTTCCTGACACTATGTACTTCAGAGATTTCCGAAACCATGGATAAAAAAAGCCATGAATAAGGGGGTTGCAAGTAGAGTTGAAATACCCAAGCCACACCAAAAGATCAAGTACTATTATGGGAGTGGAGTAGTCTAAATATGGGTCAATCAGAACAGCAAGAAAGCAAGGCAACCAGCAAGCGAGAAACACCCCCGTCACTATGCCCAGGGTCTTAGCCGCTTTCCTATCTTTTTTCTTAGACAGGTTTTTCTCCAGTTCCCCTTTAGTGTTTTCAGGCATACTGCTGATGACTTGAGCATGTCGTTTGGAAACCATAAAGATTTTGCCATAAATACCAACCATGATAGAGCCAGGAGTAAAGAAACAAGTAGTGAACAATACTGTTCCCCAAAGTTTGTTGAAAGTGAGTGCACAGAATTTGAAGCAAGTGACAAGAATGTCATAGCTCTGCATACCGGCAACGTTGGCCTCGGATAGAACTAAAGCAAAACTAAAAAGAGCGGGGGCGGACCAGCAAAATGCAAGTAATCGCTTTATCATGGAGGTTGTCATTGTAGATGCATAATGTAAAGGGTAACACACAGCATAAAATCGATCTATAGCGATGGAACAGAGGTGGAAAATGGAGGCCAGGCTCAGCATCATGTCAAAGCTTGCATGGAATTTACAAAAGCCATCACCAAAATGCCAACAGCTCTCCCCTGATCGCACCATGCTGTATGGCATGATGACAAAACCCAGCAAAAAGTCTGTGGTTGCCATGGAGAGGATCAGAAAGTTTGTGGGAGTTAAGCTGTTTGAAATGTGATATGGAAATCATTATAACCAAGTTTCCAAAGGCAGTTATAACCAGGGCTCCAGTCATAACAGAATACATTAGCACTCGGACATAAAGTGAGCGATTGGTGGGAGGACAGGATTTATTTCCAAATTTTGGACAGTCGGATAAGTCTTCAGGAATATAAGTTAGATCCATGGTCCTTTATCACTCCAAATTCTGTTCCAAAAAGATGGGTTGAGATATCTTCTCTTCTGAATTTGATTCCAGCAAATGTCAGGTCCTAATAGTAAAATAAGGTTCAAAGTCATCTGTTATTAGTTCACTTCAATTGTAATTGATTCAAATACTTAAAATTATATCAACTCTGCTTTCTGAGTAGCTGAATTAGAAAAAATGGAAATTCTCAATGGCTTATTCTTTCTTATGTTATTCTGGGTAGGGATATAGCTCAGTGGCATAAGCACCTGCCTGGCTAGTGCAAGGTCCTGAATTGGGTTCTGGTATCAAAAAAAAAAAAAAAAAAAAAAAAAATCTTATGTTCTGTTCCTTCAATCTATTCATTCATTCAACATATTAACTGCTCCATTCCTATAATGTACTGAAAAATTTTCAGGAAGTTTTGGTTGGCTTTCACTTTGAGCAACCATTTTCCTAGGAACTCTTGAACTACAATAATCTGGTATCTCTTTCACCTTAAATACACTCATACATACAATCTAAATGAAGTGACAAAGTGTTTCTTCACACACTCATTCAGTAATTTAAATTCTTCTTTTGCAAAAAGTTTACAGATGTTTTCAAAATGAGAAATGGCATATCACTCTTTAATTATGTAGTACCATGAAATATGGCTTTTCAGGGCCAGGGATATAGCTCAGTGGCATAAGCCCCTGTCTGGCAAGTGTAAGGTTCTACGTTCCACTCCCAGTACCAAGAAAGAAAAAAAAAAAGAAATGAAATATGGTTTTTCAGCATGGCTGTTGTAAGCCATATACTTGTGGGCTAAACCATTTACCTGGATTAATGCTTTGCTGCTTCTCTATTTTCTACTCTTTCTCTTCTCTGCCTCTGTCTCTTTCATTTTCCTTCCTTTATTTGTTGAGTCATATAGCTTATTTAAAATTCTAATTTGTAGATCCATAATCCACCCTTCATCCTTAGGAGATCCAGGAGGACCACAAATTTTATGGCCAATCACTTAAAACTCATGTGACTCCTGCACAGTAGGCTGAATGAGAGAATATAATTATATAATTATAATCTACACTTCCAATACATTACTGTCCCTGATTATTTCTTGGGGGATGTACATCAATCACTCTGAAAAACCATTCACTCGTAGGATTTAGAAAGGCTAAATTTATAACAAGCATCCAATCTGTTTCATGAGCTATAAAAAAGAAACCCAATCTTGAGTGAAGTAGACATAGGGGACACCCTTAACCTGTGTCGTATTCTTGCAAACCATATCATTTCAACTGGAGTGTGCATTTAGCAAGTGTCTCTATTTAGACAGGTTCAATTTAGTTTTCCCTTTAGGATCCTAAGAAGGAGAATAAAAAGATCCTCTCCTGATCTCAGTATTAGAGTCTGTCTTCATCCCTCTTGCAAATGTCATTCTTTTCTGGCTGAGGGATGGAAAAAGGAACCCCCTTGTGACAAACAAAGAAAAACACAGAAACTCGTGTGGTACCACTTAGAAAATTTTCTTACTTCTCAGTTACAGGAAAGTATCTGTTTGAAAAGCCTTTGGAGGACCCCACCTTATGGGAGATGACCGCTCCCCATGACTCTGACATGCTCTGGGTCAGGGGTGCTGAATCTATGGTGCTCGTAGTATTGTGTTTTTTTCAGACAAAAGATGTTAATGTAGGAATTGTTTTTTCTAAACTAAAACCTCAGTATTCAGGTTTAATTGCAGTGTTGGCGCTTTGCAATAAATACATTGGTTTTGGCTTGCAGTTTGGGGACACATCTCTACAAGGTTTGCCATCACTGCTCTAGGTTAAGGATTTCTATCACTGCTTTCCAAAGAGCAAGTAGCAAAAGAGCCTTACATTGGGAGTTTTTCTTCCAGTCCAAACTCTGGCGGCAGTCAGCTCTGAGCTCTTGATGACCTGACATATGACTGCTAAATGTGCCTTGCATATACACCCGGCTCTAAAAGTCTAGGAATCCTTCATAACAAACAGTTACTAGTTTTCAATCCATTTCTGTTAAATAAGTAGAAAAGAGGAGACGAGAATAAAAAGATGAGAGAGATTGGAGTGAAGTTTGTGGCTGAAGCCAGAGTTCATGGTTTGAATATTAAATGTCCCCCCAAATTCTCACTTTTGGAGGCAGGGCAGGTTGGAAATGGTGGCACGTGGAGAGTGAGACCTGGAAGAGGTATTTTTCTCCAAGGTCCTCCCGTCTGTCTCTGCTTCCTGACCTCCAAACAGTGAAGAGCCTTTTTCTACCATGCTTTTCTGGCAAGCAGTTTCTGCCTTGGATCCAGCTGACAGTGGACTAAACCCACGGAAATTGGAGACCAAAATAAACCCATCCTCCTGTAAATTGCAGGTGTCAAGTATTTTGTTCCAGACATGAGATAATAAAAAGATTTATGAGTGTACTTTCAGTCGCAGGGCAGGTGTGATCAATATTAATGCTGTGTTTCTTTCCAATACACAGTTTCCTCTGTTCTTTATTGCTGCGCTTTCTTCTTTGGTTTTCACCAAAGAAAGACTCTGAGCATCTAGCCTAGGTTATGTTTTAGCACCCAAGTCATAGCATTCAAAAATGAACTGCTGCATGTAGTAGCTGTGCTGAAATACACACCAAATCACATCTCACTTCTTCTTACCTTTACTTCCTAAAATAAACTGAAAACCAGTAAAACAACAGCAAAAAAGAAATGCAGCTACAGGTTAGTGCTAATTGGAGACATTAGAGGTGTATTTTTTGAATGAGGAATATATAAGTATTCAGGAAATTATGGTTGCTTTTTAAAAATGCATGCACTGTTACAATAAAAGCAATTGATTCAATAGGTTTGAAAGTTTGCGGCAAATGGAACAATTACAGAAGCATACTTTACAAAACAATATTTTCAGTATTGTTGAAATTATATTCTGGTTTCAAAATGACTGATTTGCAATTGGATTTTTGTTTCATAACTTGCTTAAATAGCACTGTTCGTACTCTCCTCTTTTGCTTTCTCTCAGAATTACGGCACCTACTTGAACTTTGCTCAAAAACAAACAAAAATCTTCCATTTAATCTATTACATTGAACCAGATAGTCTCTATGAAGTTGCTATCTTTGTAAATAAAAAATGTAAAACAGTAATAATTATAAGCAATTTCACACAGATCATTTCTTTTTTTCCCTCAAGTTTTAGTTTCAAGTTCTAAATGAGAAAATTTGCGTATCTCCAGACACCTACATTTGCAAAAAGTCAGATTTCCAACTTGAGATTTTGTCATGGAATTAAAGCTTGTTGAAAAGAATTTTCAATAGGCAGGACATAGTCATTTCAGTAGAAGGCAGAGGTGGCCTCACAGAAAACTCGAGGTGCAGAATCTGATATCTAATTTTCACACCCTTAAAGTATGAATGTAATATAAACTATAGTTGACAGTGAAAAACTCGCATCCTTTGTTCTAACAAAGGAAACAAATATTTCTGTATGCTACCTGTTAAGTATCAAATACTGCAAATGTCATCACTGTGAAGAAATAATGATATTTTAGCCTCTACAGATCATAGTTTCTGCTGAATACCTGCTTATGGTATTGCAGATAGTAGAGGCTTTACAAAACCAAAAATAATTTTAGGAGTACCACTGACACTAGCAGCTATTGATCCATTTCTTCTATTGACACATTTTAGAAAATAATGTCAATTTTTACATTGTCCATTAAATATTGATCTTAAAGTACAAATGCAATGTTTCAAATATAAACTCCGATTTTTAAAAATTGAATATCATTTTTGTCCAAAAGTAAATTTTATTCAAAAAGGAAATTTGTGTTAACTTCAATGAAATTTTTAAAAATAAAGACAATAGAATAACAGTGCAATTTCATTAGTAATTTTATAATTTGCACTACATTTTTCCATAACAGTATAAATTATACATGGAGTATAATAAAAAAGACAAAGATTTGACACTTATGAAAATTCACGATATTGGATGTTTTCTGCTTAATTAATATCTAAATTACAATGAACGTTTAAAGATTATGACAGCCAAGACTAGTTGAAAAACATTTTGGAGTTAACAGTAAGTAGATTATACTCAGATTTAGCAGTAAAAGCTAAGATAAACAGACATATATTTCTTCTATAAACTGAAAGATAGTTTACACTTCATAACAGCAAAAAGTAAAAACTTGCATCTGGCATTTAAAAAACTGATTTCTCCCGAATGACTGACAGTTCACAAGTAAGCCGTATAAAAACATATAGTAGGCAATGGCCAGAGATGATATCTGGAAAATGTTGTCTTCTTAGAAGCAGTTTAAGGAACAGAAAAACACATTTTAGTGACAGTAAACACACAGAACAGATAACGCTACTTCTATTTCAGAAAGCAGGGAAAGTAATCTGAGTGAGAGCTCAAATCAAAGCATATTTGTTACAATTAATGAAGAGAAAATCTCTATGAAGTTTCAGAGAATGTGGCAAAGAACTAAGAGGAAAAACTCTGTTATTAAGGTATTCAGTTTTTGTGGTGGATAAGGGGCGGGAAATGTCACCTTGACTGGAAGGGCAGATTATGGACTGGTCTGCGTCTACCTCAGCCTCTGTCTGCATAAAATGCCTGATGTAACCTGTGCTCCCTGTCCCCACCGCTCCAGTCACCTTTGGCTGTGGTGGTTTCTCCGATGCCCCGTGAACTCTGTGACTTGGAGAACCCCTTGCCTTCCCCCAGGTGCCAGTCCCTTCATCTCTGCCTGTGTTATGCGTGTGTTATTTGTGTGCTCACTGAATTTCCACAGAACTCTTCTAGACCATACAAGAACCAAATTTTTTAACTTGAGTTCTCTTTGTATCTGGAATGAAGAAATCATTTTGGGAAGCAAAGAGCAACAGGGTAACTTCAGTATGTGCTGCTTACAAAGGAAAAAATGCCAAAAATGATATAGTTTGGGCTCTGGCAGTGAATTGGCAGTACTGCATACACTAGCTATTTTTTACTATGATATAATGCCAAACAGAAAGTATATTTTAGCATTATAGAAATACGTGAGTGCCTTACACTTACTGAATCATGTCCTGCATAGGTTTTACATTTGCAAAAGCATTTTATATGTCATTATGTAGAAGCCTATAAACCTTGCCAAACAAATTTCAATGGAAAACTTAAGACCTTTCAGGAGAATACCATAACTATTTTTCAGTTAGAAAAAAAAAAAAAAACCTGCCTTCTCTATTGAAACCTAATTGTAACAATGTCTGATTTCCTATAAATTATCATTGCTCAGTTACTTTGAAGAAGGTAATACATCAACAATAATAATTTTTTAAAGGATAGTACATTTCTAGTCTTTTTATTGACCCAGTACCTTTTCCTTCCTGGAAAGTTAGTTGGGATTCATTGAGTCTCTTCTAAACGGGTCTGGCAGGTATGGTGGCAGGAAGTCTGGGGAGGTTAGATTAGATTAAGATATCAGATCTATAAGTCTGCCTCCATTCTCAAGAGAACTGGAGTACAGAGAAACTCTGAGGGAGGCACTTACTAAACAGCCTCAATGGAGCTGTTGTTTTAACTCTTTTTCCTGGGGGATATTGACATATTCTGTCTATTTTTAATATTGTCAGGTTCTCTTTTCAAAATGCACAACAATAATCTCATATTTGACTTCATGGTCACTTGGGCTTCATTTTGGAAAGAGCAGGTACTGAAATTTGCAGTTCAATTTCATTAAAACATGCAGACATGTGCAGGCTAAAGGAAACGCTAATATCCAAGAGAATTGTTGCCTGAACCATAAAATATTTCTGTTTTCACTCTAAGCAGACATTGGAGTGGGATAGAAGTATTTATTTTTATTTCAGTGATTTATGCCAGTTTAACTAAAGATTTTAGATTTTTAAAAAGCCACTTTAAAGTGTTACAAATCTTGAAAATCCAGTTTAATAACCAAATAACACTAAATAAGACAGCTGAGTTCTAGCCTTGCTTCTGAAAGTCATAGTATGATCCAATTTGTCACTTATCTATCACTTAAGTTCAGTTTTTTCATCTATAACTTCCAACAAACTTTGAGAAATAGGGAAGGCAGGCTTACCGGACTAGATCTGGGGGAATTAAAACAGAATGAATGACAGAGCAAGTACACAAGAAGCTTTATCAGCCAACAAGACGTGATGACCATGTTTTCAAACAGAAAAGTGCACTGGAAAGGAATGGAGGAAAACATTTGTTCAGTGAGCAGGGAAAGAAGGGTTGAGGAGAGGGGACAGGAGTGGGAAAAAAAAAGAATTAAGGTACATTATGTACAAGTACAAATTCTCCATGATGACTGTACTAATAATCATGAGTGTATGGCAAACATGTACTAATAAGAAATACACGAGTTAAAAAGAAAGAACATAGAGAAAAACTGTGTGAATGATACTTCAAAATACAAATACAGCTGGGTGTGGTGGTGCATACCTGTAATCCCAGCACTCAAGGGTAAGGAGGCTGAGGCAAGAGGATCACCATGAATGAATTCAAGGCCAGTTTAAACTACACAGTGAGATGCTGTCTCAAAAAAAATTTTAAAAAACAAGAAAGAAAAAGGTAAAAAAAAAAAAAAAAAGAAAGAAAAAAAAGACAGATAAATAAAAATATAAAGGTATTCGAGAGTGTAGCTCAGTCTAGCATGTGAGAGGACCCAGGTTTGAGCCCTAATACCACAAAAAAGAAAAAAGAAAGGAAGGAAAGAAAGAAGGAAAACAGAAGGGGAGGGAAGGAAGGAAAGAGGGAAATTTTTAAAAAGAAAAAGAAATAAAATACAAGTAGAATTTCAATAGAGACAAACATAACAGTAAATTCTATACCTCACACAGAATTGCCTCAATTTTATTTTGTCTGTATGCTTCACCATAAAAAAAACCCACCATCATAAAATCATTATTCTGTAAAAAGAAGCATCTCAAACTCCTTTCCAACCAATGAAAACAGGCAATCTACCACCACAATACTCGTTTTTTTCTCAAGTCATACGTTAATGAATTGGGAAGTAAATTTAGTAAACATTAATTTAAAATAGTGTAATTCTATTTTACAGTGAAAGTAAACTTTTCTACTCAGTTTTTATAAGTTATTCTTTTAAAATAAAAGCAGCAAGTCTTTAGGTATAGTGTGTGTGTGTTTAAATATCAAAATAGCATAAACGTCATAATTTCATAAAGAGAAATGACCAGATTTATTTCCCACACACCATAGTAGTGTACTCAGAAGTGCATCTGGTTTATTTATTCGCTGGAAGATTACTTTTGCCATTTCTTGTTGTGAACTTGCTATCGCTCTCGCCATTTCATAGAACTTCTTTATTCCACTTGTACTCTGCAAGCAATAACGAGGGACCATCCTGTACGAAGTCCAGCCAGGAAGGAGAGGCAGCAGGCCTGTCTACAAGCGGCTATATTTGGACAGATCTCATACTTTAGCTAACTTCACCATTTAACTGTTGTTAACCTGTGTAATGCGCTAAAATCAAAACAAACTTGTAGGCAGTAACATAAAACATGTTAATTTTTCACTGAAACAATATAAATGAAGAAATGAATTATAGAGAAACATAGGTGATATACATATAAAAATACATACACACATGTGCACATGCATGTATCTGAAAACAAGACTTCGTAAAACAATATCACCCCTCCGTGCAGGTGATAGACTCTAATGGTACCTGTTTCCTTCTATTCTAATTTGCTTTTCATTAAGAGGGGGAGATAGATCTGTTCCAAATGGGAGGGGGGCCCAGAGAAGGATGGAAAGGAGAGGAGAAGGAGGGAGGGGAAAAAAAGAATAAAGCTGTGTTCTGCACATGTAACAACTCCCCATGATGAAGGTGATCATTATGTACTGCAACTACGTACTAACAAAAATAAAAAGTAAATGAAAAGAATGTTGATTGAAGGCAGCAGCATACTGCAACCAATTCTTTCATGCCCGCTTTCAGGGGTAGATTGCTAACTTTTCAGGAATTTTGAAAAACAGTTGACATTATATCTATAGCTTACAATCAGTTATAAAGGGAGATTTTCATTTGTGTATGCGCCACAGAAGTTGTCAATTATCTACCAACTAGGGATTTTATTTTTCTTTTGAGATCCAGGTGTTAAATATTTATAGCACATCATTGATTCATGATATTAAGGATTCCCGGCCCAAGGATTCAGATGTTAATTAGTCAAAACTTACAATATCAAATTTCTAATACCCAGTGCCCACCTCGTAAATTTTAGTTTTCTTCTTTAGTTGCCCTCCTGGAACCTATTACTCAGAAATACAAGTATTGATATTAAGCGGAAAGGAATGATACATTCAAAACACAACTTCTGGGGGAGTTACGTTAAGTTTATTAAACAGGTCAAATAGCAATGCAAAATGTGTGTGAGCCTAAGAAGGAGAAAAAGCAGTGAAGAGAATTCTACTGCCAGTAACATAGAAAATTTACTTCTGTGAGTAAAGTAATTCATTAATGAAAGCTTTGTGCAATCTGTCACACGTTACACAGTTTTAAAATTCTTTCATTTAAAACAAAGTTTAATCTCCCCACCATAGAGTGTAGTAAAGTTTAAGCCTCCGCTAACACATCACTGCTTTCTGCCAGAATAAGAGTTTATGGAATATTTATTTTCATATTGGTTTGCCAATAATTTTTTGGTATTTTGAGACAGAATCTCACTATGTAGCTCAGGCTGACCTTAAACTTGCTGTGGTATTCTTGCCTCGGTCTCCCAAGTGCTGGTATTACAGGCGTGCACCACTGTGCTTATTTACTAATAATTTCAATTGATGTTTCAAAATAAACTTGATCAAGTGCTGAAGAATATGAAATGAAAACAGTACCCAAAGCCTTTGTGGTCATGTCCCATTATTTTCACTGTGGGTTTTTGTTTTGTTTTGTTTTGTTTTATTTTGTGGTACCAGGGATCGAACTCAGGACCTTGTGCTTGCCTAGCAGGCGCTTTGCAGCTGAGCTACATCCCCGGCCCCCAACTGTGCTTTTTAAGAAAAATCACTAAAGGATCCCTAATTATCTGACAGTCATCCACTTCAGCAAGTCATGAAGTCTTCAGCAAATCATTTATAAATGATGCTTAAACTCAGCCTGCAATCTGATCTTTTTCAAATAATAAAATAAAAGTTTTTATACTTCTTTTTTCTTCCAAGTCTAACCTTTTCCAGTCTTCTATTTACTGTCCTAATGTTCCTTTTTTTGTGTGCCACCTGAAAGTAGTGTGAAGGATTGGTCTAAAGAGAGATTCTTTTATTTTCCATCAGGACTTAAAAATCAAGAACTTTCTTTTTGAACTAAAATAATGGGCATGTTTGCCCTCTCTCTCTCTCTCCTTCGGCAACTTCTTCTGAGTTCCATTTCTTTTGCTTCAACTCATTCATGTAAAACAAGTCTACTCAGTCTATTTTTGAGTAAACAAATCAGTATTATGGAAATGTGAGCTGAAAATTTTGCCTAGCAAAATATACTTAAGTGCTCTGCGAAACCAAGGATAGAAAAAACCATATATTAGGGGATTACATGTTGAGTTAAAATAACCAAACCATGTCAAGGCATCAAACAGAGCTACAGGAGTAGAAAAGTTCAAAAAAGGATCCAGTAAAATTGTGAAAAAACAGGGAAACCAACAAAACAAGAAAACACCCATTACTATTCCTAAAGTTTTGGCTGCTTTTTTGTCTTTCCTCATTTGACTGCTTTGATTTTCTGATAAGGTATTGATGGCACGAGTGTGCTTTCTGGATACCGCAAAAATTTTGCCATAAATTCCCACCATGATAGACCCAGGAGTGAAGAAACCAGCCATAAACAAGGTGGTTCCCCATAGCTTGTTAAACATAACTGGGCAGGAACTAGAACAAGCGACCAAGATGTCATAGCCTTCTATTCCATCAGCATAGGCTTCAGAGAAAACCACCCCAAAGGCAAATGCTCCAGGAACTGACCAGCACAGAAGCAGCAACCATTTAATGACTGGAATAGTGATTTTGGTGGAATATTGTAAAGGATAGCAGATAGCATAGAACCTATCCATGGCCACTGAGCATAGATGAAAAATGGATGTGATGCTTAGCATCAGGTCAAAACTATAGTGAATCTTGCAAAATATAATCCCAAAATACCAACAATTCTCTACCGATCTGATCATACTATATGGCATGATAGCAAAGCCCAGGAGGAAGTCAGTGACAGCCATGGAGAGGATGAGGAAGTTGGTTGGTGTGTGAAGTTGCTTGAAGTAGGAAATGGAAACTATCATGGCAAGATTTCCAAATACCGTGATGAAGATGGCTCCTGCCATAAATGAATAGATGGTAATTCGGACACCCAGGGACCTCTCCTTTTCTGGACAAGATTCATTTCCATATTCAGAACAATTGAATGTTCCCTTTAGAAAAGCAAGAACAGATGGAATTTGGTCAGAAAAAAGACACCTTTTATTCATGTTTTTGTAGAAAAACTCAAGAAAGACATAAAGTCCCAAGGAAGGTAATTGTCTTTCCCACTTGTTTGTAATTTTATAGAATTCTAATGACAGGTTCAAATGATCACAATTTACATTATTTTACCATAAACATTTAATAGACTTTTAGTTTATTATTCCAGGACCAGAATTTAAGAAGGGAAAGGAGGGAGAGGAACAGATGATGAGGAGAAGAAGGAGAAGGAGAAACAGAAAGAGAAGGATGAAAAGGAGAATAGAAAGAGAAAAAGAAGCAGCAGGAAAAGACAAAGAAGAAGCAAATTTAGTATTGAAATAACAATTGATCCTCCTTATATGCACAGGAAGACTAGATAGCTCTCAGACAATGTGCACACTTTGTCCTCAAATTAATCTGGAGGGGCTGGGGATTTAGCTCAGCAGCAAAAGCGCCTGCCTGGCAAGCGCAAGGTTGTGAGTTCGGTTCCTGGTACCGGAGAAAAAAACCAAAAAAAAAAAAAAAACCAAAAAAAAAAAAACCAAATTAATCTGGAATACACAATCAGCCTCAATTTGCTTGGGGTCTATTACATTGCGGATGGAAGAGGTTATTATTTGAAAGTAGTTTCATTCACGTGTCCCATTATTTTCACTGTGCTCTTTAAGAATCACTAAAGGACCCCGGATTATCTGATGGAGTTACTGCTTCAGCAAATCATGAAGTCTTGAAAACCATCACATTAGCCAGAGCAACTGAATCAGAAGAAGGGGGAGACCAAAGCCGAACTACTAGCTTTTCATCAAGAGCATATACACTTCCCCCACATGACTTCCCCAGCATGCAACACACAACAGGTCATAAGGCCAGTCTGCCAAGCTCCTCAGTGGGTCATCCAGAAGACCCTGAGCAGGTGTCCGAGAGCTTTTGAAAAGTGAGCCATTTCCACTACCAGAAAAACAAGCATATGTCTGTCTTGTATTAGCTCAATATGTTTTTTGCATTTACAAAAATGGGAAAAGTATCATTTCCATGTATATTTAGAATATAACATGCTTAGGAGTCAGGGCAATTTCTTTTTTAATGTATATGAGGAGGGAAACCACTATCTAAATGCAGAGCATAACTATTAATATTGCAGAAAAGTCTTTGACCTTCAACTACCTCACACCTGTCAGACCTGGCCTAATAGATAAAGTCTGAATCCCTATGATATGAAAAATTGAGTGCTAATATTTATTGAAAGAGACAAAACTTAAAATCCAAATGATTCTCCTTCTCAGCTAAAAGCAGCAATGATGATGAACTGATCAAAGAAAAAAAAAGATCTAGAGAAAATGTGCAACCAGTGATCAAAAGTGGACACAGTGGCTCTAGGCTACACTGGACAGTACTGTTCCAGTCACCGCATTTGACTTTTGATCTGGTTTTCCGTGGGTGAGCAGGATTTGAACAGAAGAGAAAGTCTACTCCAAACAAAGGATGGGGAAAGAACTCAAGGTAGGAAATATTCTGTTCTAAAAGTAACTCTCAGAGAATTCTAACACACAGCAGAGGGTGGAGGTTAAAGAGAAGCAACTGGGAGAAGACAGGGATTCGAATTACATTGTCATTCCCGGGCCAGTGTTCTCAGCTCGTACAGAGTCACAGAAGATTCGCCACTTTGCTCTTGAATTTGGGCAGTGATTCACAAAACTTAAAACAATTAAGATAGCTGCAGGAAAGTACAGATTTAAAATTAAAATCTTTCTCTAGCTCATTCCAAGGGACGGTCCAAGGCAATTTTATCTTCCTTTGACTTTCTTCTCGGAGGTCCCACGCCACCTTCAGAGAACTGGTGGCCTAACTATGTGATAAGACATATTTTAATAATGGAACTAAAAATAGAGGAAGAGCCGTTTTTATCTTGTGATCTGAGGAATTAGACACCACAAAACTGGAATCCCGTCAGACTGTAAAGTCTCTACCAAATAACACCCTAAAAGTTTCAGAGCTATGCCTGCAAGGTAGTTTCACCAAAACATTTTCCTCCTGAAATTTCAAAAATGTATACAACTGATTCTCAGGCTGTACTCACTGTTAGCATCAACAATGATGGCTTCTAGTGTGTGTGTAGCATTTCACTCATGCTCCTCTTCACATGCTCACAGGAAAAAGGTAGGAGGAAAACACAAAAGATGAGGGACCTCTCCCTGTCTTGGTACTAAGTTTTTAGCTGCTTGCTATCTCTTTCTAGCTACCTGCTAACTAGGTAAGCATCACTGCAGAAGAAAATGCAGAGAGAAAATGCAGTAAAATGAAAACGAAATTTTTGAAGGTTTCGGTCATCTTTGGTATTCTTGTTTGAAAAGCATGAAAAGGTGAAAGGGCTGGGGCTCAGTGGTAGAGTGAGCCTTAGCAGAAATGCATGTGTGTATACACACACACACACACCCCCACACACACACACACAGCAGAGTACAGGAGACCCAAAGGAAATTTTATTGGTTTATTATTAAATCACCTTACTCTTTAGAAAGTAAGACTAAGAGGAGATAATAAGTTATTTTATTTTAGTGAAAATGGCAGACACAATATTCTTGTGCTAGTGGTAACTCTATGACAACTATACATTTTTAGATTTAGTTAAAACCTTTTTGTGCTCCTGACTTAGGGACATTGATATTCTGAATTATGCTATCATCCCACTTTTTGCAGAAGTCATTTCAAATTATAGTGTAAAGCTTGACTGATTTTCCTCTTACCGTTCAGGAAATCTAACTATTAGAATGAAAGTCTCTGAGATATATAATATGATACCTAAATGCAGATCTACATTCTCTTTCACTACAGAGTGGGAGAGCCATGTCCTTCAGAAAATTATGTGATGGACTCACAGAGTCTGTCACCACCCTGCCTCGTATTTTTGGCATGGTTTTTGCATGTGACATCTTCCATTGATTGAAACATGTAAAAACTATGTCCTCCATATCTTTTAGATTGATCATCTATGAAAAGCATAATGCAAAAACCGTATTTTCAAAGTTATATTCTGTGAGGAATATTTTTGCTATCTTTAGAACTTCTTAATACAGACATGTATAAATACATGAGTGGCAACAGAATTACTTGGATGTCTAACCACTTGTTCATTACTGTTAGAGTCTAAACTTTATTGTATTGAATTGTTAAAAATGTTTTCTAAATTTCACCAAAAAAGTTATCAAATTGTAGGATCATGACCACAATCACAAAGAATTTGGTGCTTTTTATAATGTGATCCCATTTCTTTTTTATCTTGTCATTCAATTTGATTAGTTCTATTTTCTTAAGTATTTTTGTTTTAGTAATAACTTTTTAAGATTTTAAGGCTCTTTTCTGTTATTCTTGTTGCTAACTATTCTTTCTGCCTTCTTTTAGTTTTTTTTCCCCTTACTCAAACTACTGATTCCTTTCTTTTTTTAATTTCTATTAAATGTTAAAATTTAATAAATACTGACCCATTAAATAATTTTATGAGCTGCTTTATCACAATTCTTCCTTCTTTCCTCCCTTCCTCCTTTTCTTCCCCTCTTTCTTCCCCTACTTCGTTTCTTCCTTGAAATAAACAGCATACTCAAATTTATTTGATCAGGAAGTGTTTCTCCTAAGAAAATAAAGGAGCTGGTATTGCTTGTAAAAAGCCCAGGTAACTGCCTTAGTTCTCTGCTTTGCTTAACGAGCACCTGTAATAAATAAATTACTTGGGCTCTGTGAGGAAGTAACTCTTTCCAAGATTCTAAATATTCGTTCCAGAAAACATGTTGCACTGTCAAAGGGCACCACATTATTCTGCGCACATATTGAAAGGGATCTTTCTTGTATTATAAATTCATATTCAGTCCTGTACCTTCAACAACCTCTGCCATTCCTGCACACTCTCTAGACACATAATAAACAGTCAAACGACGAACAGTGCAGCAGCGATGCAACTGCATGGCTGAGGGGACAGCTTACTTCTTTAAAAACCTCGAAGAAGAAAAAACATTGGTCTTTCCTATACAACCCCTTCCCCACGTACCTGTTGCACTGTGGAAGATGCCATTATTAACTCCTTATGGTAGAAACTTGGTCTCTCTTCTATCTTCTGTGAATATTTATATGGAACTAGAGACCTGAACTATGTGGATTGGGTTGTTTCACCAGTTAACAACTGGTCTCCAGGGAATTGTATCTGCAAGTAAAAAATGTCATCATTCTAAAGTTTAATATCTTAAATGAGCCTGACTCCCTCTCACATCCTCTGAGGAGTCTCAGTGTATCTGCTCGGCTGAATTATTATCACCTGCAGTGGTAAAATCTCTGTGTCTGTTATTACACAAAGGCTGCAATAGTAAACCAGAACATAACTGTAACCGTAAATGAGTGGGATCAGTGGCTCCAACAGAAACACAGATGAATGCCCTCCAGCACTCAGGATGACCTGAGATAGTCACAGTACATGTTTTGTCTCTCATTCCAGACACTAAGAAGAGGTTTACCACCCACTGTTATGCTTTTCTTCTTTGCATAGATGTGACTAAAAGAATATGTCTCATCAATCCTCTTAGACCCCTAGAAGGCACCAGGGTCCAGATTGAATTAAAATTGTAGCTATTTTGATGACCCGCACTTGGCCCAGGGCCACTGTATGATGTGCAACTTGGGCAGCCGCCTGGAGGGCTGACCTTCAGAGGGCTCACACTTGGCTGAATGCTCTGCTCTGTTCCTCTTGAAATTCTTACTTTGTTTGCAAGGAGTTCCGGGTTCTCCTTTCACACCAGGCCCCACAAAACATGTTACTAGCCCTGCCTTTACCTCTCTTAGCTGTCCTGTTCAAGGAAAAGAAAAGTAACCAAGAAGAACTCTTCATGTCTGAGCACAT